TTAATTTTTGTTTTTGTTATGGTTAGTTTGTTTATTGCTTTAGAGAAGTCTGAAATAGTGGAAAATTTCGTAGTTATTTAGACATTAAAAGCTGCAATTAGCTAGCTATTTTTGAGGAACCAAATGTAAAAGAATCCAGTTTTGATGAGAGTCACTGAACGTGAAACATTAACTGTTTTGTCCCCACAGATGCTGTAAGACGTGCTGAGTTAATCCAGCAATTTCTGTAATTATTTCAGATTTCCAGCATCCACAGTTCTTTGCTTTTGACTGGAAAAGAAATCAGTTTGCATTGATTTCTTTAAACTTACTGTATAATGCTGTGAGAGCCACAGTTCTGTTTTACCTGTTGTTTCTCTCCTCTCGCCATTGACAGAAACTAGGAATCCACTGGTCGGCCAAACCATACATTTGTTACTTCAGACCTTGCAGCTCTATCAGATTCCATTCTGTTTTTCACAATGTTCTGGGTTAGATGAACCCCTTTATGTACTCTAACTCCAACATTTCACATCATGGGACTTTTTGGTTTGTTATTAAATTCCAGAACTCATCTACTGCTGTGAAACCAAATCTCTCTTTCAACTACTGCTAACTACCAGGGATAGAGTTTCTGCTGAGTCTCATTGATTTGTTTTCCAATTCAATTTTCCAGAAATTGGCTAAACTGTTACAAAGGATTAAGGAATTTCAATGCACATTACTTCTCGGGCATTTTGAGCTTGAGGTCTTTTGCTCTGGTTTAAAGCACATCATGCTGAAAGCCAGCTCTATGCCTAAAAGTGTCTATGGTGCCTGCTTGAATGAATCACCATGTTCAGGTTTCACAAATTGCACATGTTGTGGTTCTTTGAGGAAACTCTGAAAGTGAAGCTTTTCTTCCAGAAACAAGGCCACTTAATAGGTAAAGGTATATTTGCTGTAATCCTATCAGACCATCGGCCTGCTCGGTCATTAGATTGAGGGTCCACGTACCGTATAAAGGAAGAGGTTGCAAAGGAGAGTCCTACAGGGTGGCGCGGTGGCTCAGTGGTTAGCACTGCTGCCTCACAGCACCAGGGACCCAGGTTCGATTCCAGCCTTGGGCGACTGTCTGTGTGGAGTTTGCACATTTTCCCTGTGTCTACGTGGGTTTCCTCCGGGTGCTCTGGTTTCCTCCCACTGTCCAAAGTTGTGCAGGTTAGGTGGATTGGCCTTGCTAAATTGCCCGAAGTGTTCAGGGGTGTGTAGATTAGGTGGGTTATAGGGGTATGGGTCTGGGTGGATGCTTTGAGTGTCGGTGTGGACTTGTTGGGCCGAAGGGCCTGTTTCCACACTGTAGGGATTCTATGATCTATGATGATTCTATGATCTCTTCATTGTAACCTCACCCAGTGCAGGAATTGAACCCATGCTGTTGACATCACTCAGCATTGCAAACTGGCCAACTGGCCAACTGACCCCCTATTAGTGGGTACATTCTAAAGAAAAATCAAAGCAGATTTATTTTACTGGGAAACTGCATAATGTGCACATATGAAAGTAGGAAAAGGTTCCGTAGTTCACATTAGAAAGCTCGTGTAATTTTCATCTGAGTAGACATTCATGCAATACAGAGACTACTGTCAGGTATATAGACTCTTAGATTCCAGCCTCTCCTTTCACTGAGATCATGGCTAATCTGCTAATGTTCAACTCCAATTTCCTGCCTTGCCTCTCTAAGCCTTGATTCCTTTTACCAATTAGAAACACGTCTAGCTTTGAATGTGCTAAATTTCATAAGCTTCAACAGCTCTCTGGGGTAATGAATTGCACAGATTGACTATGGTCTAAGAGGAAAAATAAATCCTCCTCATCTCTGTCTTAAATGGGTGATCCCTTACTCTGAGATTATGCCAACTGGTCCTGGACTCTCCCAAAAGGTGTAGCGATTAATCCTCGCCTACCCTGTTCAGTCCACTCAGAATTTTAAAATTTAAAACAAGGTCACCTTTTGTTCTTCTAAACACGAATGAGTATAGGCCTGACCTACTCAACGTCCCTCCATACCCAGAATCAACCTAGTGAGCCTTCTCCCGACTGCCTCCAACACCAGCATATCTCTCCTCAGATAAGGAGACCAAAATTGTCCACTGTATTCCAGGTATGTTCTGACCAATGCCTTGTATAATTTTAGTAAGACCTCCCTATTTTTATAATCGATTCCATTTGAAATAAAAGCCATCAGTTTCTTTGCCTTCCCTATTACCTGCTGAACTTGGATATTAGCTTCTTGTGATTAATGTACAAGAACTCACCCAGATTCCTCTGTGCTGTAGCCTTCTGCAGCTATTCCCTATTTATATAATATCCAGTCTCTCCTTACTAAAAAATTGCATGACAGTACATTTTTTCCATATTATATTCTATCTGCTAAGTTTCTTTTTCCCCACTCACCTATTTATGTGTCAAATGCAAACTTGGTGAAAGTACATTCACTTCTGTCATTCAAGCCAGTCATATATTGTATTGGATTGTGGTCCCAGAACTGATCTTTGTGGCACTCTACTAGTTACAAGTTGCCATCCTGAAAATGCCAACTTTATCCCAACTCTCCGATTTCTATTAGTCAGCCAATCCTCTATCTATGCTAATTAGTATACTACCCTAACACGATGGGCTTTTATCTTAAGTAGCCTTATGTGCAGTACCTTATCGAATATCTTTTGGAAATTCACATATATTACATCTATTGATTTCCCCTTTTTCTATTCTGCTTGAACTATAATAAGTGTCATGCATGATTTCCTGTTCATGGAGCCATGCTGACTTTGTTTAGGTCATGTATTTCTGAATGTTTTGTTGTTACGTTCTTTATAATGGCATATAATGTTTCCCAAATGACAGACACTAAGCTAACTGGCTTGTAGTTACGTCTCTTTTGTCTCCTCTTTTTGAATAAAGGTGTTATATTGCAGCGCTCAAATCATCTGGGACTGTTTCAGAATCTAAGGATTCTTGAAAATTATTACAAATGCGTCCACTATTTCTGCAGTTGCTTCTTTTGAAATCCTAAGCATGTTGAAGGGGCCCATCGGTCTTTAACCCCATTAATTTCCCTAGTACCTTTTCTCTAACCATAGCTATCATGTTTATTTCTACCAACCACCGCCCTTTGCCCCTTGATTTTTTATTGTATTTTTGGAATGTTATTTGTGTCCTCTACCGTGAAGACTGATGCAAAGTATTTACCTAACTCCAATGTAATTTCTTGGCCATCTATTATTCTTACCCAGCCTCATTCTCTAAGGGGCCAATGTTCATTATGCCCTCTCTCTTTTTATATGTTTAAAGAAGCTCTTTTTATCTATTTTTACATATTTGCTACTTTGCCTTTATAGTTTATTTTCTTTGTATTTTATTAGTCATCTTTTGTTTGCTTTTAAAATTGCCCCTATCCTCCAGTTTCCCAAAAATCTATGCCACATTTTATGTTTCTTTCAATTTGACGCTATCCTTACCTTTGCTGGTTGACCATGGTCAATTAACCTCCTTCCTGGAATCTTCCTTCTCCACTGGGATACACCTTTGCTGTGAGTCATCAATTATTTTCATATGGCTGCCATTGGTGCTCAATTGTCATTTCTGTTAAACTCCTTTCCCAGTCCATTCCAGTCAACTCTGCCCTCATTCCTACATATCTACTCTTAATTAAGTTTAGCACTGTAGTTTCCAACCCAAGTTTTTTACTTGTAAACTGAATGTTAAATTCTTCCATGTTATGGTCTCTGTTCCCTAGGCTGCCTCATTATGTGAAGATCATTTATTAAACCTGCCTCATTGCACATTACCAGATCAAGCTAGCCTGATCCCTAATCCCACAACATATTGTTCTGTGAAACTATCCTAAACTGACCCTGTGAATTCTTCTTCTTCATCTCTATCTTTGCCCATTTGATTTTCCCAATCTACATGAAGTTTGAAGTCACCCATGATTAATGTACTGTCCTTTTCATGTGCCGTTGTTATCTCCTGTGCTACATAACAGCCACTGTTAGGGAGCCTAGAGACAATCCCACCAGTGTGTTCTTCCCCTTGTTATTTCCTACCTCAACCCACATGGATTCTGCTTCCAATTCAAGATAATTTCTTGCTGTCGTACTTATTCTATCCCATACTACAAAATGACACTGCCACTTATTCCTTTCTGTCTGTCCTTTCAAAAACTAAAATGCCCCTGAATATTTAGTTCCCAGCTTTAATCTCCTTGTAGCCATATTTTCTTAATGGGTATAAGTTCATATCTATTAACTTCAAAAATAACTTAATGTGCTGTGCCACATTTGGCACATCCCATGATCACGAAAAATAGGTTATGAATGCAAGTCCTTTCCTTCAATATCAGTGTGCTTCTCTATGTCAGCTTTCAAACCAGCAAGCATTATACATTGTCTAAACTATTCACTGTCTCATGATGTAGCTCAGCATTGAAAAATATCAATTTTCCAACTTAAACGTATTTGTTTCTTTTTATGCATGTCTCTCAGATGCTATACCTTAGCGGTTCAGATCATTCAAAATGTATAAAAACTATAAAGGAGTGCAGTCAATTCATGCTGCTTTCTTTTGGCTTAAGATCAAGGTTCAAGATCAGCTGAAAATAGTCTTTTGAGAATTGAGGGCTCTGCACTAAATTAGCTGTTGCAGTGCCAAGCTATTGCCTATAGAGTGAGCTCATACTTGCATAGCTCACTTGTGACTTCTAGTGGTCATTGTCTCTGCTACAATATTACAGTATTGAGTGAAACATGAGATATTTTATCAAGAATTGAAAATTTGAGCTGCTCGTGGCTGTGGACATGGGTGTTCCTGTATTGTTTCTCAGCTTCTTCATTCAGAGATTTGTCAAGTTGGACACTGCTTTTAGTGTTAGCATTATGTTGTTAGGTTAAGTCTGAAGATCAAGTTTTCAGACAAACTATCAAAATGCAATCAAGCTAAAGTAAAGAAAATGTTTCATATTTTATCATGTGTTTCTGCAGCCCTGATGAAGTGGGGAAGCTGGCAAAACAAATGCTTGGATACAACCTCATTACAAAGCAGACAACAAAGGACGGTGTCAAAGTTAACAAGGTAAGGGGTAGGGACAAAGTGAGAATAGATTTATGTTGTAATATCATTATTTGTCTGCTGTAAGTTAAATGTATTTGAGGAATGCAATCGTGGGTTTGAACGTACTGTTAGTTACACAACAAATTGCTTGACGGGGGATTAAATAATTACTGCAAGATATCAGAATCAAAAAAAGTCATTAGGATCGATAGCCAAATTGCAAAGCTATTTGGATAACAAAGTCTCTAATTGATGTTACTATGAAGGTAATGGTGGCAGAGGCCTTGGATATTTCCAGAGAAACATATCTAGCTATTCTAATGGATAGAGCCTTCAATGGACCAGTTATAGTTGGCAGCCCACAGGGAGGAATGGACATCGAGGAAGTCGCAGCCACCAAACCTGAGTTGATATTTAAGGTATGCTGTGAAGTGAAAGTGATACTAGAATCTATACTATATGTTGTCAATGCAAGAAATTAAACTGTGGTCAATCATAGTAGAATTTCACAAAGAATTTTTTAAAAACATTTAATGGAGCAGATTTATTTTGTGCCTATTATATAGAAATCAAATTTAAAAATTATGCTATTTTGCCTTGTCAACATGGCTTACAAAAACAGGCCTAATATTTAAAATGTTTATAGAAATTGTTATAATTGGCCTTAAACACAAATGAATAACATATACTTTGACCAGTAGCTTCCCATGTATCAGTGTATGAGACATCTATTCTTCATGTTCAGGATCTTGAAATGTTTAACAATTTCTTTTTCAACTTATTCTGTTGGTTTTATCTCTCAGGAGGTCATTGATATCTTTGAAGGGGTTAGAGAAGATCAAGCACTTCGAATGGCGGCCAATATGGGATTTAAAGGTCTACTGCGGCAACAGGTAATGAGCAACAATTGTTTACATGTGGGCCTCTTTAATTGAGTAGAAATGGTTATTATATTTTTGTGCATGCTGCTGTGATTGGAAATCAATCTGTTCTGAAGGGAAAGGAGAAAGATACCATTGTAAGGCAGGCACTTGCTGAATCTAGCTAAAAGTAATTGGACCTGCGTCTAATGTTAACTTCTGGTAAAATGTTTTGTTACATTTTTAAAAACTACATCTTTTGAAATTTACAAAAGAACTTATTTTGCCCTATTATACTGCTTTAATTTAATGTTTTAACAAAGATCTGTAGCTTGGGTTGTGGTTGGAGTTGTTGATTGGTTCGCCGAGCTGACTGGTTTTCATGCAAACATTTTGTCTCCCTTCTAGGTGACATCATCGGTGCTGTGTAGCCTCAATTGAAGCGCTGTTGTACTGTCCCGCTCTGAATTTATATAGTCAGGTCTGTCATGGTGAACAGTCTTGTTTCCCGTGGTTGAAAACTGGGCCTCCAGGAATTCTCGTGCTTGTCTTTGTCTCACTTGTCCTAGTGCTGCCTGGCAAACAAACAATACCAAGAAGACTGTGTACGCCCCAACACTCTGGCCACCCTACCCTATGTTAGAAACCCGTCAGAACTGGAGACAAGTCTCCTACGACCTCTTGGAATAGGGATAGCACACAAACCAACAGCCACACTTTGCCAGTTACTCTCAAAGACGAAAGACCCATACCCACAATGAGCAGGACAAATGTGATATTGAAAATACCATGCAGCAACTGCAAGAAACACTACATAGGCCACACGGGCAGGAAACTCGCCACCAGGATACACGAACGCCAACTCGCAGCAAAACGGCATGACCAACTCTCTCTCATTTCAATGCAGGAATCTGAGTTCTGAGGAAGGGTCACTGGACCCGAAACGTTAACTGTGTTTTCTCCTTCACAGATGCTGCCAGACCAGCGGAGCTTTTCCAGCAACTTTGTTTTTGTTCCTCATTTCAATGCACTCTGAATAGAAGGATATCAATTTGACTGGCACAAAGTTACAGTACCAAGACAAATGAGATAAAGACAAGCACGAGAATTCCTGGAGATGGGGTTTTCAACCACCGATGTAATGAACAAACATGTTGAAATAGACCCCATCTACATAACAATATGGGACAAAATCAGAAACAAGACTGTCCACCATGACAGACCAGACTGAATAAATTCAGAGTGGGACAGGAAAGCAGCGGTTCAACAAAGGCTACACAGCACTGACAATGTCACCT